TCCATTGCACAAGCAATACAGTGGAAACATTGGCAAATAAACAATGAGTTCTAAAATTTTGGTATTCAACAAAGGAGCGACTTGACCATTGGTGTGCAACTCTGTTGATTTTATAAAATATTCACACAACCACAGACACATTTCACCAGGAAGCTCTTTCTTTGAAAGGTCTCTTGAAGCACTTTGTCTCCACATGGTCCTTCAGGCAAAACCAGGCCTATGGATGGATTTCTTTTTAATGGCAGAGCTCCCACCTCATGGGTGTCTGTTACCAGTTTACACTGACATAGTTTTGTTGTGGTTGGGTTACACTGGAGTGGCCCATAGACAGTTCCTGGGGTCATTTTTGTGCCCCATATGGCCCGTAGGAGCCAAAGTTCCCTCTATAGAATGTTGTGTTTTGTCATGTCTCTCACCACCGTTCTAGGACATTTTATGGACAAGGGGCATTTTTTATTTGAAAATAAAAGGAGGTGAACTTTAGTCATTCTCTCTTCTTAAAAGAGTTATTTCTTGGGCCAAAGATGTCTCAGAGCTCCCAGAAATTGGTCCCTGAAAAAAACTCTACTAGAGTTATTTGAACACTGTATATACTCATGTATAAGTTAATTTGACGTACAGTAGAGTCTCGGTTATCCAACATAAACGGTAGGCAGAATGTTGGATAAGTGAAAATGTTGAGTAATAAGGAAGGATTAAGGAAAAGCCTATTAAATGTCAAATTACATTATGCTTTCACAAATTAAGCACCAAAATATAATGTTTTACAACAAATCAACAGAAAAAACAGTTCAATACATTGTAAAGTTACATAGTAATTACTGTATTTATGAATTTAGCACCAAAACAATGCAATGTATTGAAACAGCTGTGGATCCGGGTGGGAGGAAGACTGTGTTGGATAATACAGAAAGTTGGACGCACAAAGCTTGGATAAACAAGACTCTACTGTATAAGTAAAGGATAGGTTTTTGGGTCAACATGATAAATAGTGATATAACTTCTCTCTATTTTTTTCCATGTCAAGAGCGACTTGAGAAACTGCAAGTCACTTCTGGTGTGAGAGAATTGGCTGTCTGCAAGAATGTTGCCCAGGGGATGCTCAGTTGTTTTGATGTTTTACCATCATTGTAGCAGGATTCTCTCATGTCCCCACATGGAGAGCTGGAGCTGATAGAGGGAGCTCATTCCTGCTCTCCCCAGATCTGAACCTGCAACCTGTCGGTCTTCAGCCCTGCTGGCACAAGGGCTTAACCCCTTGCGCCACTGGGGTGACCTCTGAAGTAAGTTGAGTGTCCTTTCAGGGAGAAATAAAATATCAATGGCAACTCAAGGGTTTAGCCACCACCCTAAGGCACTGTCACAGCTACGGGGGATTTGTGCTTCTTAATTAAAAGAAGATGGACTAAATCTTTGCTTTTTGCTATTCTACCCAAATATGGAGATGGTTCCTTTTTTGATTTGAATTAAGCATTGGTATTCACATTGTTGGAGGAAAGTGTTGGAGGAAAGTTCTGAGAGTGCCTTGGACTGCGAGAAGATCCAACCAGTCCATCCTCCAGGAAATAAAGCCCGACTGCTCACTGGAGGGAAAGATACTAGAGACAAAGTTGAAGTACTTTGGCCACATCATGAGGAGACAGGAAAGCCTAGAGAAGACAATTATGCTGGGGAAAGTGGAAGGCAAAAGGAAGAGGGGCCGACCAAGGGCAAGATGGATGGATGGCATCCTTGAAGTGACTGGACTGACCTTGAGGGAGCTGGGGGTGGTAACGGCCGACAGGGAGCTCTGGCGTGGGCTGGTCCATGAGGTCACGAAGAGTCGGAGACGACTGAACGAAAGAACAACAACAACAACAACATTCACATTGTCCCCTGGAGAAGCTGCCCAAGGTTTTCTGGGTTGATTCTTGAACTATAATTTCTAGACCTATAAATGAGTATGTAGTGTATATGGGAGCAGATTAACCAATGCAATCTTTTTTATGTGGGTACAATGATTGGATAGCCTTTGAAAGTCTTCTAGGAGACTAATGCAGCCTAGAGCAAAGCTTCTCAAAGCTCTGCAACCAACTGTAATTCAGTTAATGCTTCTGGCTTACAAATCAATTGTTTTATTAAGAATAATAATAGTGAAAACCCTACTTTTAAGTTAATGGCTTAAATAGGTGAACTGTTTTAATGTTTTTTATATTGTTTTATTATAATATGTATATTTATGCTTGTTTTAATCTGTTGTTGGCACCGTGCTGTGCCGGTTGATAGCAGCCCTGAGTCCTTCTGCGGAGGTTGAGATAGGATGGGATACAAATGTCCTAAATAAATAAATACTTTTAGCCCCAACTAGAGTGGTCCCATTTAACCAATGGGAGTTGTTTATGTCTTTACTTATCATCCATCAGTTTGTTCAACTTGCTTACACTGAGACTAACTAACAGAACTGACGCATATAGTAACTACAACAACAACAAGAACAACAACTCTGGACACAAATTTATTTACACCGTTTCAGACGAAGCTTTTATTTTAATATTACAAACCATTTTTTTCTTTATTCACAAACCACTGTAGTGATATAAACACTAATTTCTAAAGACAGATATACACACTTGTTGGGTTTTAAGATTTGTAACTGTTTTGAAGTCACGATATTCTACATATGGTACTTAATCGTTTATTTTTAAAATCAGAATTCATATTATCAGTAGCAATTTATATAACTGGAGAAGAAAGAAAAAACACATTCCCTATATCAGACATACATTTGAATAAAATGAATGACTGGAGTGTTGAAGGAGTTTTCACAAAAATAGTTTCCAACAGCATTTGGCAAACCTCAACCATCGGCAATTATCTCCAAGAATTACACATCAGATACACATTGGGGGCTGCCTTGAGGGACACAGCCACTGAATTCAACTTAGAATTACACATCAGGAGATCTTTGTGTGCAAACTGATAGTTTGTAAGAAAATAAATATCTTTAACAGTTAAGTACTATCATTATAATTCTTAAAGTATTTCAGAGTGCATACAGACGTTTTTATTGGAGCAGCCAAACCACATATACAATTATGCACTCTATTGTTTAGAACTGGAATAATAGATTGCCTGTGCACAGCTCTGATTGACTGATGCACATGATGTCACCAACCCACATCATTTTCTAATGAGTTTGGAAGTCTGCTTAAACTTTAAATGAGTAAAAGTGGGCATATTGTATTTTGCAAAGGCAAAGAACTCTTGTGTTTGGATCAGCATTAAAATAGCTGGTAGTGAATGCATAGCAATCAAGTTGGTAGAAGTCAAGGTATGCCCTCTCCTCAGGAAAGAAGATTTTGTTTTTAGCCATTTTAATCCATATTTTTCAAGCTCCATAGCAATACAATTTGGGAGAAATAAGAATTGATAGATCAACCTATCCCTGTAGATTGGTGAAATTATTACTTTTAAATTAGAAGTCATCAATATCCACAAAATGTAATAGCCATATCTATCCACTTCTATTCCAGTGTCATGGTACGTCTGTATGCACCCTTGTTTCGGAACCCCCAAAACTTAATATCAGATTACATTTTTCTGACTTTTTTCCATAATGTTTAAGATCTGATCACATGAACAATGGCCATTTAAGCCTAAACATCTACAATGAAATATTTGCTTTGCTAGGCCTAGAAAACAGCACAAGCTCATGCTCCACTGAACTCAACAGAAGTGAATGAAGACCATCCCTGAAAGCTTCTTTTTGGAAAGCTGGCTTTCTAGAATAGAAATGGGACAATGGGAAAGTTTGCAGCCAATACCCAGCCAAGGCTTGTGACTGCAATGTCAATGGATTTGTTCCAGGATTTGGTTCAGACTTTAAAGGAGGTTCTCCAACATACTGAACCCATTTTAAAGATGTGGTTCATCAACCTGAGTAGCACCTTTAAAGTTCAGGCTAAAATTGAAGGTGGGGTTACTGTCATCTTAATATTGGCCAACTTCTAGAGAAAATGATGTCCTTAGAACTATGTCATTTCCTATCATTTGAAATATTAAAATTAAGCTAGCAGGGGATATTTTTAGGATACTCAGGGTTCCAAAAAAGAAAGGATCATCAAAATCCATAGTGGTTGGTGGTCTGAATTTATTTTGGAGGGGTCACCCTGAAATTGTCTCTCAGTTGAATCACCTAGATCTAGTTACAGATCTAGAAGAGATTTTCTGACCAGAAGGAAAATTTCATCAACTATAATCATATCTGTATCTAGATCTGTATCTAGATCAAGATATGAAGGATTTTCTTGCCATTCATCAGATCTAGATCTAGATAGGAATGAGAAGGCCCTTCTAGTCAGAAAATCCCTTCTGGAGTGCTGCCCTTGTTAATATGGTGTCACTCATTAACAGTGGTATCTTTACTTGGAGAACTACTTTATGCCTACGTGGTTGCACCTCAATGTTGAACATGATGAGGAAGCTCGGTTGGACTGGAATTGCATGCTCCTCAATGAAACTGATCCCCCCACACTTCTGGATTGGAATCCAGAAGCCTTCCTGTTTCCTCCCTTTTCCGTGCCTTCCTTCCCCATCTCCAACTGCTTTGAGTTGGTTGGGAGTCCATGGTTTCTAAAAAGCACCTTGTGACTTAACATTTGGGCTCAATGTGAGAAAAGGTACATTTGCATATAGCAAAGTCTTTCCGGAACAATGGCCTTAATCTAAAGCTATCAGGGAAGGATGAGTTAAAAAGTGACCAAATTTATGAATAAATTATTCACTCCCTGACTGATAATTTTTAGTAGCCTATACTTTGCATGGTTTTATACACTTTCTTTCTGTCACTCCTCTATCTTTCTCATTCCCTGTCTTTTTCTCTCTCTTACACTTTCTTTCCTCTATTCCCTCTGAGATGGATTGGAGAATGATGTCCTTATTATTATTATTATTATTATTATTATTATTATTATTATTATTATTTTATTCCCCCATCTTTGGATAGAAATGCTACAGAAACC